GTGGGGGCCACATGGACCTGGTATAACCCACTACTTACTCTAGGTAGAGGGTTGCACCATAGTTTCATCTCCAAAGACAAAGTGGCTACAGATCCATATCTTATGTGAGAAAAAAATTTCTTGAAACACAAGGGATAAACTTTACAAATGTCATTGTCAGACCACCCAGACTACTCCAGCAATCCAATAAAACGCCTGAGTACCTTTGTTTTTGTGGCACTGGAGATCAAACCCAGGGCCACATGCATCATAGGCAAGTGCTTTATCACTGAGCTATATTCCAACCCAAGGTCTGTTCTTTTTCTCTGTCAGATGACAGAATTCATTCATCAGTCTGCCCCTAACACGCTTTCTCCTTTTCAATTTCAATTTATATTTAAATTTACATTTAAACCGAATTAAATTAAATTTATATTTAAATTTATACCTGAAAAGCTCACTCTCTCTCCCCTCAGTTTTATTTATTTTGTTTATTTTTTTGTTGGTCCTGGGGCCTGAACTCTAGGCATAGGTGCTGTCCCTCAGCTCTTCAGCTCAAAGCTAGTGCCCAACCACTTGAGCCACAGCACCACTCGGGCTTATGTGATGCTGAGGAATGGAACCAAGGGCCTCATCATACAAGGCAAGCACTCTACAACTGAACCATCTTCCCAGCCACCCCCCCATTTTTATTTCTATTATCACTTAGATGGAAGTTTCCTTACATGAAGTACCACTGAGTTGCATTTTACCCAAAACATTGACACACATATTCATATATGAAAATTCAAAATAACTGCATTAACATAAGAGGCACTTTCACTGAATCTGAAACATTTATCAACGTAGGGCTATCACTGGCTAGGAATGTGGTTTCCTAATCAAACTGTACCTCTGGACAACAATTGGTGATAAGGCAAAACTCGGCAGGAACAATTCATTCTGCAGAGTTTTATAATAATCAAAGTTGGTCAATTGTCCTGAGTAACTGAAATACAAACTTGAATGACCAAATCTCTGCACGAATTATGTTGCAGACACCCGGGACGTCCTGTGGACCACCCTGCATTGCCTTTTCAGGAAGACGGTCTCAACTTCTGGTTAACTGTTAAAAGTGATGCCAAACAACTAGTTGCCTCTTTCTTGGAGAGTGTGTTGAGTACACCCCGGGCAGGTGTGCTTGTGTTTGTGGCGCTGGAGATCAAACCCAAGGCCTCAAGCATCATAAACAAGTGACCAACTTGTAGATGTGCCACTGAGCCATGCCCCTCAAGGCTTTTGAATGCGTGCTTCACAGATTTAGAAGTAGTCAGGATGAGAAGGGACCAACCCTTCACAATGGAGGGCTTCTCCCTCCCCACCTCCCAGCCAAGCCCAGGAGTTACTGCTCAAGACGCCTCTAGAAAGGGAAGCAACCCTCACCTCTGCCCCCCCCCCCCCAGTGAATTCGAATGTAGCAAAGGTCACGGGGAAAACTGACCGAGGTTTTGGATTCCACAGAAAGACCTAAACATGATCGCCTTGCTTCGGGGACAGTGGCATTGCCTCTGAAGGTCCCAGCCGCTGTCTAGGACACAAAAGGTGGCAAAGTCCTGAAGAACCCGGGTTTCCTGGCGGGTCCGGGATCTTACCACGCTCTCACTGCCAAACGGCCCAGTCCTCCAGGAGCTAGCCGCCACCCGGACGCGGGCGAGGGGAACATCGCGCTCGCATTCTCATTGGTTACTGGAAACCGGAAGTGCCTATGTCCGGCGGAAGTACTCCTCCAGCTCGGTCCGCCCGGCCGGAGATCTCAGGTAGGCGGGGTCCCTGGTTCCAATCTCGGGGTGCTACAGGCGGGTGGGAGGCGGGCCGAGAACCCTGGGGTCTAGAGAAGGTTGGTCCGGTTCTGAGGAGAGAAAACCAAAAGGAATTTAGAGGGAGTTGGGCTCCCGGCCACCGCCAGTGGCTACTGAGGCCTAGTTGAACCCGACCTAAATACGCGAGCTTCAAGTTCCCTGGCGGAGAATGGGCTTGGAGGCGGTGGCTGGAGCCGGGCTCTATCCCAGTGCCGATGGTCTGATGCCAAACCAAGCGCTGCTCACCTCCAGGCAGGGAAAGGTGTGCTTTCCGCCTTCCCTTGACGAGGCTTCTGAGTTTGACAGTTTCTTAAGGCCTGTCCACTTCCTGGCTCGGTTACGGAAACAAACAAACAAAAAAACCTCAAAAAGGCTGCCGGAGAAGCCGTCCAGGGAGTAAACGTCCTTGTCTTCCTAAAGAATTGAAGGGTAACTGTAACCCCTCTTTAGAGTATCTTTACAATAAAAAAAATACTTAAAAAAGGAAAGAAATAAAAAAGAGTTGAAGGGTGTGTTCCAGTTACAGGCTGCTCAAGTGCAAGCTTAACTGGACTGCCCGTTTATAGCAAATAAAACAGCTTGTTAATAGTTTTCACCTCCAGGCGACTTGAATTTCGAGCCTCTTGTAGTCCTGATGGACAACTTCGCTTTCCTCAAACTGATCACACTTGGAACTTCCAGGGTTGGAGTTTTATGCAATTGAGAGCTGTCGGCACTGCAGAATTCTATGTACTAGGAGACAGGTGAGCATGAATGAGGACTTTCCAGGTACATACAGGGTTTGACAACCATTTCTGTAGTTTAGTTTAAAAAAAAAAGTGCACTGCCTCTATTCAATACCAGGTGGTGCCAGCGAGTTAAATCTTTCTAGGATAGCTTCAGGTGACGGCTTTTAAAGTGCCCCTATCTTCTCTGTAATTTATTCAGGATAGCTTTGCCTCTTTTAAGATATGTTAAGGACAGGTGGTGTACTCATTGAGAGTGCTTGATTAGCATATGAGTATGAGGCCCTGTGTTCAGTCTTTAACCCTTAAAAATAATTTTTTTTGGCTGTACTGAATATTGAATTCAGAGCCTCTTGAGCCATGCCATTTTGTTGTTGTTGTTGTTTAAATAGATTTTAAAATCATTGAGCCTTTTTGTACTTGATCCACATTCAAATATTTGTATTAAGTGTTGAGACTAACAGAAGAATTGAACTAAATTTCAGCTCTCAAGAATTTAATCAGGAGAGAAACATAGACAAACAATGAACTGTGATAAAATCATGGACACACCTAGCATGTAGTTCAGTAAGATGTGCAGGACTATAGGTTCGATCCCCAGTACTACCATAAAATATTATTTTTTTGGCCAGTCTTGGGGCTTGAACTCATGGCCTGGGCACTGTCTCTGAACTTCTTTTGCTCAAGGCTAGCACTCTACCACTTGAGCCACAGAGCCACTTCCAGCTTTTTCTGTTTATGTGGTACTTAGGAATCAAACTCAGGGCTTCATGCAAGCACCCTATCACTTAAACCACATCCCCAGCCTCAATAAATTAATTTTTAAAATTGCACAACCCATGGCAAAAATTGATGATAATTGAGAATAAAATATGCAACACAGAAACAATTTTCATTACTCGTTTACCCAATACATTTTTTCTACCCAGGATTGGTAAAGTCCTTCCTCTCAAAGAATGCACCACCTTGTGATTGAGAGAAAATTAAGGAAGGCCTAAATGGAGAAAGGTGCCACATGAACCTAGACTTTGGATGGATTAGAATTTCTACTAGTTGGTAGAAAATGATGGAGGCTCAAAAGAGAAGGGTATTACACATGAGTGTAATCCCAGAAAAGTGGAAATTTTGAATTTGTGGCTAGCCTAGGCTACAAAATGAGACCCTGTCTTACAAAAAAAGTGCATGTGTGTATGTGCACGTGCGCACACACGAGGGAGGGGAAAGGAGAGGGAGGGAGGGAGAGGGAGATATGAAATGCTGGGAGTAATGGTAGGAGGTGTGCTGGGCAAGCAGGGAGGTCCTGGGGTCAGTCTCCATCAACACAAGAAGAAAAATTGTGCAATGTGTTTTGAACATTCAGTGTGGTTAGACTAAGAGAGTAGGGCTGGGAAGGTTGCTCAGTGGTAGAGTGCTTGCCCCTCATGCATGAGGCTCTGGGTTCGAATCCTCAGCACCACATAAGCAGAAAAAGCCAGAAGTGGTGCTGTGGTCAACTGGTAGAGCACTCAACTGGTAGAGCACTAGCCTTGAGCTGAAGAGCTGAGGGACAGTGCCCGGGCCAGAGTTCAGGCCCCATGACAAAAAAAAAAAAGTTTCATTTTAGTGCTGATATTTGAGTCTAGCCTTAGGCTTACTTCACATAGCTGTCACTCTACTGTTGAACTATGCTCCCAGCCCTAAACCAGGAAATTTTAATAATTCCTATGTACTTTTTTTTTTACATTACTAGAGATTGAACTTAGTGTCTCACGCTTATTAGGCAGGCGCTCTACCACCAGAGCCACTCCACCAGCACCCTGACCATTTCTGTATAAATAAGTATATTTGGGTTGGAAGTGGTAGAGCACCAGCCAGTGAGCAAAAATCTCAGATACCAAATTCAAGTCCTAGTCTTAATCAATATGTTCATATTTAAAATTTAATGTGGATCAATAGCAAAGACTTATAATGAAATTATAAGGCATTTCTGTGGAGTTTTGCTGCAATGAGTTTAAACTTTTATATCTAAACTGAGGCTTTATCTGAATAGCTCTCGTTTCCATATCTGGAATTTAGAAAGAACTTTAAGTTAAACTTAATTTTTTTTCTTTGTCAATCATGGGGCTTGAACTCATTGCCTGGGTGCTATCTCTGAGTCTTTTGCTCAAGGAATAGAGCTCTACCACTTTGAGCCACAGCTCTATTTCTGGTTTTCTGGTGGTTAATTAGAGATAAGAGTCTTATGGACGTTCCTGCTCTGACTGGCTTTAAATCATGATCTTCATATCTCAGCTTACCGAATAGCTAGGATTACAGGTGTGAGCTACCAGCACCCAGCTAAACTCACTTAATTTAAAATTACATTAATTAATTGAATCTTTTCAAATAACCAAATTAATATCCTATATGTGGCTTATTGTTCTACAGAGATTAAAATGGCTTCCAGAGGAAAGACAGAGACAAGCAAATTAAAGCAGAATTTAGAAGAACAGTTGGATAGACTAATGCAGCAATTACAAGATCTGGAGGAATGCAGGTAATAGTATAATTGTGTGTTATTATGATATAAAATGCTTTTTTTCTATCGCTAGATTACAGGTTCCATGGACGCAGGCCCATGTGTAATTTTGCTTTCCTCTGTAGTATTTTTCAGTGTTTTGTCTATTAGAAGTGTAAATTTAGTGCAGGTTTTGGAGTCGTAAATCCTGGAATGTGGAAGTCTTTCAGGTAATTACTAAGTGCATGTGAACTTGGCAAAAAGCTTAACCTCCTTGAAGTAGAATTAATAACATTACATTGTCTTTATGTGTCTGTGCCAGTCCTGGGATTTGAACTCAGCACCGGGGTTCTGTCCCTGAGCTTTTTTACTCAAGGCTAGCATTCTGCCACTTGGGTCACAGCTTCTGGCTTTTTTTGTTGCTTAATTGGAAATAAGAGTCTTATGACTTTACTGCTTGGGCTAGCTTTGAATTGCAATCCTCAGATCTCAGCCTTCTGAGTAGGGCTATAGGCATGAGCCACTGATGCCCAGCTACCTATTTGGTCTTTAATATTTAAACAGCCATGCTTGGTATGAACTCTTGGTGTATACTCAAAGACAGACTGGGCTAAGAGTGTAGTTCAATAGAAGAATGGGTGCTTAGCATGCTGAGGCCTGGGTTCAGTCCCTAGCACTTGAGAAAAAAAGAAATTGCTGGTGCCAGTAGCTCACTCCTGTAACCCTATTTACTCAAGAGGCTGAGATCTGAGGATCATGTTTCCAAGCCAGCCTGGAAAGGAAAATCCATGAGACTCTTTATCTCCAATTAAGCATCAAAAAATTGTATAAGTGGAGTTGTGGACTAGGTGGTAGAGGACTAGCCTTGAACATTAAAGCTCAGAGACTCAGGAACAGCACCTGGGTCCTGAGTACAAGCCCCAAGACTGGCACCAAAAAAAAAAAAAAAAGAACAAGATTGTTTATTGCATATTTAAGAGCTTTTCTGGAGTGTAAATATTGTAAATGAAGTGGAGGACACTATGCTTGGCCCAGCACAGGTGCTCTGTAAGTGGTCGATCACTAAGTAGCAGCTGTTGTAACTTTGTAAATATTTAATAAGTGGCCTGCTTGGTGAATAAAAATAACCTCCTACTTGGATGGCATGTACCACATTGCTGTTGTTTTGGAGGACACACAAAATCTTCCCTGCCATTAATGATGATGTTAATAACCACAGGTATTTACCTGTTACTATATGTGCCAAGCACTTTCTTTTATCTTATTTAGTGCTCATAGCAACCCTATTAAATAGGTACCATAATTACCCAAAGCTTTTTAGATAAACTGAGGCTTAGCTGTGTTCAGTATCTTGCCCAAGGTTATTCACTGAGAGTTTAAAGAAAAGCTATTGTGTGGTTTTACTGTGCCTTATTTTGGTAGAAGAAAAATGACTAGGGACTGGTGGTTTCACTCAGTGGAACAACTCGTGTTATTGTTCCTGGTCTTGGTTCAGTCATCAACAGTCATGTCTGTTCATCTTAACTACTTCAGAGGCTGAGATCTGTGAATCATAGTTGGAAGCCAGTCTGGGCAGGAAAGTTTGTGAAACTCTTACCTCCAATTAACCACCAACAAGCTGGAAGAGGAGCTGTGCCTCAAGTGATAGAATGCTAGCCTTGAGTGAAAAGAAGCTTAGGGACAGCACCAGGCTCTGAGTCCAAGCTCTAGTACTGGCACAAAAGAGAGAGAAAAAAGTAATACTAAAGGCACCACGTCCAAGTGTTAACAACTATTTGGGCACATCTGTCTTTAGTATTGTGTTGTTCTTAAGACATTCTCTCATGTGTAAGTACTAAAATAGCTTTTTTTCACTTGGAAATCTTTATTTTTCTGCATGATTGTATTTACTGTACTTCAGAGAAGAGCTTGATGCAGATGAATATGAAGAAACCAAAAAGGAAACTCTGGAGCAGCTAAGTGAATTTAATGATTCCCTGAAGAAAATTATGTCTGGAAATATGACTTTGGTAGATGAACTAAGTGGAATGCAGCTGGTAAGCACATTTTCGTTAATTTTTTTTTTGTCTTCTGTGAAAGAAAATGTAGCTTTGACGGTATAGCTTAGCAGTAGAGTGCTTGCCTAGTGTGTATAAGGCCCAGTGTTCCATTCCCAGCACTGCAAAAGAAAGAACTATTTTATATATATATAATTTCTTGATTATTGTCTACCTAGTGCATGAAATAGGATATATGTATCTTTCAAATCTTCATTTAGTTATGTATTTGGCCCCAGTGGCGTACACAGAAGTAGCAAATGAAAACTGATATTGCAGTTGTTTGATGTCTAAAGACTTATTGAAAAAGATTCATCAGTCTGTTTTTGCAAATCTGATTCTTTGGAATGTTTTTGTTTTTGTCTTCCTGTGTGTCTAGGCTATTCAGGCAGCTATCAGCCAGGCCTTTAAAACTCCAGAGGTCATCAGATTGTTTGCAAAGAAACAACCAGGTCAGCTTCGGACTAGGTTAGCAGAGGTAAAGCTTATTTAAATTGTCCTAATTGTTGTGTGTTTTCCTTCTGTAGCTCAAGAATTTGCTTATTGTGATGGTCTACAGTTTTAAAATTGGCCAGTTGATTTTAGAACTACGGCCTGCATTTTCTGACAAAATTCATACCATGAGCAATTATAGTTGATAGTAAATGTGGATGTTTAAAGTGTACAGCAGTTTCACTGGTCCCAAAACACTTGTGCTTGGACTCTGGCTTTCTAACTGCATCTAGAGCCCTAATCTGAAATTCCATTGAGAACGCTTGAGCACCATTCTCTTAGGCATGTTTGGCCTATTTTCTCTAAGAATTTCAAGCACCTTTATGAACCTCTACAGTTTATAGACTTGAATGTAATTAAGGACTAACAAGTTATTTGCAATATGGATAATTCAGTAGTGTAATGAGTAAGAGCATAGATTTGAGCCAAGCACTGGTTGGTTATGTTTTTTTAGTACTATCTACTTGGAAGCTGAGATTAGGAGGATCACACATTGATACCAGTCTGGGCAGGAAAGTTTTCAAGACCCCTTTTAAAGCAGTAGCTGCATGCAGTATAGTATACATGCAGTAGAGGACATGCTTAACCAGTGTGAGGTCCTGAGTTCAAACCCCATTACTGCAAAAACAAAACAAGACCAAAAACATGGATTTGACTGGATTTGAATTTCTGCTCTGCATGCTGGGATATGTGACCTTTGGCAAGTTATTCAATCTCTTTGTTCCTCCTTGTTTTGTTTTTTTGGTTTTTTTTTTGTCAGTCTTGGGGCTTGAATTCTGGGCCTGGGCACCGTTTGTAAGCTCTTCAGCTCAAGGCTAGCACTCTACCACTTGAGCAGCAGTGCCACTTCTGGTTTTTCTGAGTGGTTTATTGGAGATAAGAGTCTCATAGACTTTCCTGCCTAAGCTGGCTTTAAACTGCAATCCTCAGATCTTAGCTAAGATTACAAGCATGAGCCACCAGCGCCCGGCTCAATTTATCTGTCTTCATTTTTTTATTTCATTTTTTGGTTGGTTGTGGGGCTTGAACTCTGGGCTCAGGTGCTGTCCCTGCACTTTCAGCTCAAGGCTAGCTCTCTACCACTTGAGCGACAGCACTACTTCGGGTTTTCTGGTGGTTTATTGGAGATAAGAGTTTCATGGACTTTCCTGCCAGGGCTGGCTTTAAACCGTGATCCTCAGATTTCATCCTCCTGAGTAGGTAGGATTACAGGTGTGAGCCACCAGCACCCAGCAAAAGAGCTCTAATTTTTTTTTTTTTCTGTCCATCGTGGGACCTGAACTCTGGGCCTGAGCTCTGTCCCTGAGCTCTGCAGCTCAAGGCTAGTGCTCTACCACTTGAACCACAGCGCCACTTCTGGTTTTTTCTGCTTATGTGGTGCTGAGGAGTCAAACCCAGGGCCTCATGCATGTACTCTACCACTAAGCCACCTTCCCAGCCCCTTGTCTGTCTTTAGAAAGGTGATCATGGTAGACCCTACCTCTTGTAGTTGTTGTGAGGATTTAATGAAGTCATATATGTAAAAGCACTTAAAAGCCAGGTACAATACTGTGCCTATAGTTATAGCTACTTGGAAGGCAGAGGCAGAAAGACCACTTGAGCCCAGAAGTTTGAGGCTAGCCAAGATACCATAGGAGACCCTGTCTCAATAATTAATTAATATAAAGATAAGCCTGGCAATAGTTCAGTAATGGAGCACTTGCCCAGCACGTACAAAGTCCAGAGTTTGATCCCCAGCACTGTTATTAATTACTGCACTTCTGGCCTTTTTGGTACTTAATTAGAGATAAAACTCTCACGACTTTCCTGCCTGGGTTGTCTTCAAACCATGATCCTCAGATTTCAGCCTTTTAAATAGCTAGAATTACCATTGTAAGCATCTGGTACCCAGGATTAAAAAAAAATTGTTAAAACATTTAGAATAGTATTAATGCACTGATTATACATTAGTGTTTCTGGTGAAGAGATGTTATTTAACACAACTTTTAGGAATCTAATGCTAATTATCTCATTCAAATGTGTAGACTGTACTGTAATTAGGAAAAAAAAAAAGTTATAAAGCCAGGTGCTGAGGCTTCTGCCTTGTAATCCTAGCTACCCAGGAGGCTGAGATCTGACTATTGAGATTCAAAGCCAGCTTCAGCAGAAAAAACATTGACTCTTATCTGTAAATAACCAGCAAAAAACTAGAAGTATAATATGGTTTAACTATAGCGCCACCCTTGATCTAAAAAGCTAAGTGTGAGAGCGTGAAGTCCTGAGTTCAAGCCCTAGTATGGTACAAAAAAAAGTATTAATAATTTCTTGGATTATGGCTTCTTTTCAAAGAAAGCTATTGACCTACTTTCAGTGGAGTTTATAACCAACAGTGATTATGTCCAGCATTATATTTATTAAAATGATACATATTGTTGCTCTCAATGTTCCTTTGGGTTATTTCTATAGTTATACTATTAAATATTATTAATATTATACATGGGTTCTTTAAAAAAGTAGGTCTGAAACACTGAATTTTATGCAGTGTTTTTCCCTTACATATGCCTTGTGTTCATTTATCTATTATAGATGGATAGAGATCTGATGGTAGGAAAACTGGAAAAAGACCTATATACTCAACAGAAAGTGGAGATACTAACGGCTCTCAGGAAACTTGGAGAGAAGGTACTATATTTAATGTATCAGACATATGAAACAGTTGGTATTTGTTATAGAACTTCTTGAGCTATGATATAGTTTGTAGCCCTCAGATCTTCCTGAGTATGATTCAAGAAGCCACTTGTGACATTTGAACCCTTTTCTAGCTGACTGCAGATGATGAGACCTTCTTGTCAGTAAATGCTAGTGCTGTCCTGAGCCAGTTTGAGAAAGTCTCAACAGACCTTGGTGAGTGCTCTCATGACTGGTTCTTCCCTTTTCCTTCTTTTGTAAATTTTACTCAATGTGATATATTTATAATATGCTCATGAAGCAGTAGCTCATTCCTTTCCATTACTGTATAGTATTCCTTTATATAGTATTCTATAGTTTGGTTATATACCTAACATCAATCTATGTTCATGACATTTAAAAAGTAAAAATGGTTGTGAAAGAAATGACCTACTTCAGGCTGGGAAGGTGGCTCAGTGGTAGAGTGCTTGCCTTGCATGCCTGAGGCCCTGGGTTCGATTCCTTAGCACCACATAAGCAAAAAGAAAAAAGCCGAAAGTGGCGCTATGGCTCAAGTAGTAGAGAGCTAGCCTTGAGCTGAAGAGCTGAGGGACAGCACCCAGGCCCAGAGTTCAGGCCCCACGACCGGACCCAAAAAAAAAGAAAGAAAGAAAGAAATGACCTACTTCTATGCCTCCTTTTTACAAAAAGTGTTATTATAAAGGTGATGTACAGAAGGGTTATCATCACTTAGGTAATGAGTGCATTTCTCTCTGGAAGGTGTCACTCCTTGCTTTGTTCACTCGGAGTTTTCCCCTCCCATCTCTATCCACAAGTTGTTACAGTTCACTTTTAACATAGTTTCTACTGAGTACCACTGCTGCATTCATTCACCCTATGTCCCTCCATTTTTGGGCTCCCCACAGGTGGAAAAATGAACCAACAAGACAGAAAAGAAAAAGAAAACAAAATCCTTGTTTCCATTTTCTGGGTTTCCTTTTGATAAATATTACACAATTAGAGGCACAGAAGCATTACACCTTTGTGTTTCTCCCTAAGTGTTTCCTCCTTTAGTCTTAGTCTCATGGTGTGTGAGTTTTTTTGTTTTTTGTTTTGTTTTGTTTTGTCAGTCATGGGGCTTGAACTCTGGGCCTGGTACTGTCCCTCAGTTCTTCAGCTCAAGGAAAGAGCTCTACCACTTGAGTCACAGCACCACTTCTGGTTTTCTGGTGGTTCATTGGCGATAAGAGTCTCATGGCCTTTCTTGCCAGGCTGGCTTTGAATCGTGATCCTCAGATCTCAGCCTCCTGAGTAGCTAGGATTACAGGCATGAACCACCAGCCACCAGCTTAAACACAGCTTTTTTATTGGTGGTACTGGGGTTTGAATCCAGGCAAACTTGATAGGCAAATGCAGTATCATTTGAGCCATACCTCCAGACCTAATTTCTGTTGTTGTTTTTTTGTTTGTTTTTATGGAACTGGTGATTGAATCAGAGTCTCATGCATGCTAAACACATATCACCACCCATCAGCCCCTTGTTCTCGTAGATCTAAAAACTGGGCATGTATTGCAGCTTCATAGACAAAGAGCATGAGATAAACCTTTGAGAGACTCCACAATTACTTTCTTGTGTGTGTTTATATGTGTATGGGCATGTGCCAGTACTGGAGCTTGAACTCAGGGCCTGGCCACTGTCCCTTAAACATTTTTTTTTTTGGGGTCCGGTCGTGGTGCCTGAACTCTGGGCCTGGGCGCTGTCCCTTAGCTCTTCAGCTCAAGGCTAGCATTCTACCACTTGAGCCACAGTGCCACTTCCGGCTTTTTTCTTTTTGCTTATGTGGTGCTGGTCTCATGCATGCAAGGCAAGTGCTCTACCACTGAGCCACCTTCCTAGCCCCTAATTCTGATTTTTTTTTAAATTGTGAAAATACTGTACAGAGGGGTTACAATTACATGGGCAAGATAATGAGTACATTTCTTTTCTTTTTTTGGGGGGGTGGGTCCAGTTGTTTTGCCTGAACTCTGGGCCTGGGCGCTGTCCCTCAGCTCTTCAGCTCAAGGCTAGCGCTCTACCACTTGAGCCACAGCACCACTTCCGGCTTTTTTTCTTTTTTGCTTATGTGGTGCTGAGGAATCGAACCCAGGGCCTCATGCATGCAAGGCAAGTGCTCTACCACTGAGCCACCTTCTCAGCCCTAATGAGTACATTTCTTATCAAGCATTGTAGCCTCCTCCTTTGTTTCCCCTTCCCATCCCTTCCCATCCTCTCCCTGCCCCCCTACTAATTCTGACTTTTGTTTCAATATCTATACCTAGAATTAACCTACCTTTACTTAGAATTGTACATGCATTTGAAAAAAAAACAAACTTACTATGTTTTTTTCCTTAGGCTCTGGAGACAAAGTCCTTGCTCTGGCCAGTTTTGAGATGGAAAAAGCCCAAAAGTAACAAGCGTGGGAGCTGGTACACTGAACACATTCCTCCTGTAAATGGTGGTGTATTCTGAGGATTCTGAGTCACATTTGTATCTTGGGACTAGGTAACATGGAGACAGATGTACTATGGCTGCTGTTTATGGTCTTCCTCACCTCTCTCTGTGCAGGGCTCCTTGCTGAGTGACTCTGGACCTAAGACTCATTGGACTTGATCCATTATGATTTGTTTGTTCAACAGAGAACATAGACTTCTGCCTCTACTAAAGCTCTTTGGCTTTGGGGAGAAGGGTATAGGTTTGGTTTTGGAGGTCTCTTCCCATTTATTTGGGGAATAAATTTTTTGGAGGGAGGTGGGCAGGAGTGTCTCACTCTGTAGCCTAAAGTGGCTTCAAACTCATTGTGTAGCCCATGCCAGCCTAAACCGGTGACAGTGAAGCCTCAGCCTCCCAAGCACTGGGTTCTGCCCAGGCTTTTTGGTTTTAAGTGCTGATAGGTAATAAAAAGATGTGAGTTATTGATTCTTTTCTATTCATAACTGATTTCTATCAGCAACTTCACTAGCCCTCCTGTTGCTCATAGTTTCAGAGCATCAGTGATGTTAGAAATCATTTTAATACAAACAAGGAACGATTTAGAAAGAGCAAGTGATTTGCTGAAGACACATCAGACAAAGCTGGGGACAAGGACAAGACTCATGGGTCCTTACAGTTTATTACCCGCTGAATTCTCTCTCTTTCTCTCTCCCGCTTGGTACCATTTTTGAAAAATAATGAACTTGTACTTGTGCAAGTTAGTGTCTATGAAAACTGAGTCCTAACCCAGCATTGACTGGGCACTAAGAGACTATTCCCTAGCCTGTGAGCCCTGCCATGAATGGGGCCCTTGTGTCTCTGAATTTCTAACTTGGAACAATGAGATCCCTGTTGAGAATCTCCTGAAGTAACTTAACCTCTTGCGCTGTTTCACTGCGGAAGCAATAGGAAGAGGCAGTTCAGGCCCTCCCAGGATGACCTCCTGCCAGACTCAGAGGGTGGCAACAGTGAGCTGCATCTGTTCTTCAGTTTGTGGAGAAGCATAAAATAAGTTATGAGGAAAAACAAGCTTCTCGCCAGAGTGTTGACATCTCTGTACATGATGTATGTTCAGACCTGTCCCTGTGCATGTACATTGGTTTTTTCCTAGGGTTTGGTCATTCTGTCTTCCAAAAAGCGTTTCTCAGTATTCTTTCTTTACACTTTATACAAATTAAAAACATTTTTAATGCTTCTTATATACTTAAATTCTATTAGGTGCTTTGCCAACTGGACAGATTAGGGGACCTGAACTATATTAATGCCTTATTTGGAATAGTTACGGTTCTTGTTTTTTGTTGAGACAGGATCTCTCTATGTGACCCAGGCTGGCCTTAAACTCCTGGGCTTAAGCAATGCTCCTGCTTCAGCCTTCCAAGAGGCTGTAAGTACAGGCACACCACTGTGTCTAGCTGATGGGTTCTTTATATATATATATTAGCTTGTGATAATAAAAAACATAATTTGTGACAAACCAAGAAAAAGCAGCCCAGCGCCGGTGGCTCACACCTGTAATCCTAGCTACTTAGGAGGCTAAGATTTGAGGATCACAGTTCAAAGCCAGCCAGGGAAGGAAAGTCCACGAGACTCTTTTCTCCAATAAACTACCAGAAAACCAGAAGTGGTGCTATGGCTCAAGTGGTAGAGCGCTAGCCTTGAGCTGAAGAGCTGAAGGACAGCATCAGGCCCAGATTTCAAGCCCCATGACCAACAAAAAAAAAAAAAAGAAAAAGAAGGAAAAAAAGCAGATTGCCTGCTATCATCCAGGGCTTTGCAGGTATTTACCATAATTTCATTTTTCTTGATTTTTAACTGGTAATGGAATTTACATTAATGTAAAACGTAGTATTAAGTATATAGTTGAGTGGCAGTTGGTACATTCACCTGCTGCCTATAGTTCCAAAACATTCCTTTTACCTTCCAACTAAGCAATTATTTCCTTTTCCCAGCCCTCCAGAAACCATAAATTTACTGTTTCTGTATTTGAGCTATATGATATAAATGGCATAATATGATATGTAACCTTGCTGTGTGTCTAACTTCTTCCACTTTGCACAATATTTTCAGAGTTAATCCACATTGTAGCATGTTTCAATACTTGATACTTAGGGAGTTTGTATGTTTTGTTTCTTTTTTTTTTTTTATTTTTTATTGGATCCAGTCGTGGGCCTGAACTCGGCCTGAGCACTATCCCTCAGCTCTTCAGCTCAAGGAAAGAGCTCTACCACTTGAG